GTTTTTTGAAGGTGAAGAGAAGATACTGCAAAAAGCAGTGGTGGCTCTGGACAGCTGGGCTAGATGAAGAAGGAAAAAGGCCCATTTTGTTTCAAAGGGCTTTTATAAATTGCAAGAGCTAACGGGAAAATCTGGGTAGTCTTGGCAGGGTGATTGACAGGTCCGATCAACAAGCAATATGCAGAAGCTTATTACGCACTAGTATTGAGATACGTAAAGTAACATGCAAAAAAGTTTGTGTGTTACCAGTTTCCTTGTAGTGACGCTGGCCAGTCTGTAAGGAGGGGCTGGGGCGGGGTTGGGAGGTTATTTTCACTGTTTTAGTCCTTTTGTTTTTAAATTTTTGAGTGAAATTTATTGCCTATTCATGGAAAAGAAAATGATTTACATTTGAAAAATCAAAAGATTTTTGAATGATTTTTAGGGAGCCCCCCCCTTGAGAGGCTCCTCACGGTTTGGGTAGGTTTGAGGAAGGAGCACCTCTGCCTGTGGATGACTGTGAGGCCACCCCAACCCTACTCTCTGGAGGGTAAAGCTCAAAACCTGTTGGGAGCTGGCACCCATGGCTCACGCCTGTAATCCTCGCTACTTGGGAGGCAGAGATCAGTTGGATCACAGTTTGAAGCCAGCCTGGGGAAATAGTTCACGAGATCCTATCTCAAAAAACCCTATCACAAAAAAGAAAAAAACAAACAGAAAAAATCCAGCACAAAAAAGGGCTGGTGGAGTAGCGCAAAGTGTAGGTCCTGAGTTCAAACCCAAGCACCGCAAAAAAAAACCAAAAAATAAGGTCCTCAAGGTCTTGTCCTGCAGCATGGACTTATGCTTGTGCTAACTCACGTATTTTAATTACCTGTGTGAGGTGTGCTTTCCTGAGAGGTAAGCAAGGGCAGAACTTCCCATGGCTTCCTATCTTACAACTGCAGAGTATTTATAATAGAAAAGAAATCCACAACTGCTAAGGCTAGCACGTGCTGTGGGGAGGAGGGGTCTAACATGCAAAGCACTGAGAAAAGTCACATGGTACCTGAAAGTCCCACAGCTTCTTTTCCTATTTCCTAGCCTGCCTCAAGGTAAGTTTCTACTTAACTAAGGTCTCAGAAGCACCTGTACAGCGTTCGATGTTCACTTACCTAAGGAATATTTATTGTATACTGTTCTGGACGTTGGTGATTAGGCAGTGGACAAAAGATAGGTAACCTCTTGCCCTCATGGGGCTTATATTCTAGTGAGGGGTTAAGAATCCTAATTAAAGAAACTTTCCACTACTTAGTGAAAGGTGATTTATTGAGATGTACTCTAAACTCCGTGAGCAGAGTCAGTCCTGGACTTGAGTTGATTCAAGCAGTGTGGCTGCTTTTGGGTTTGCTTCTCTGGAGCAGTTCCATTCTCAGCTCGCCTCATCTGATCACATAGTCTAGTGGAAGAGGGGACCTCTCACACTCAAAGGCTTTAGAAACATTTGACTGAATTGTTATGTCTTCATTACTGTCTCAGTCTGTTTTGTGTTGCTGTAACAAAATACCTGATGCTGGGTTATTTTTTTTTGGGAGTCCTGGGGTTTGAATTCAGGGCTTTGATCTTGCTAGGCAGGTGCTTTACCACTTGAGCTACTCCTCCAGCCCTTTTTTGTGTTGGGTATTTTTGAGATAGAGTCTCAAACTATTTTCCCAGACTGACCTCGAACAGCAGTCCTCCTAATCTCTGCTTCTTGAGTAGTTAGGATTACAGATAAGAGCCACCTTTGCTCAGCCCTGATGCTGGGTAACATATAAAGAAAAGAGGTTTATTTAGCAAACAATGGTGGATGAGCCAGAGCACGGTGCTGGCATCTGCTCAGCCGGCATCATGGCAGAAGTATTTTTGAAAGGTCACATGGTGAGACAGGAAGCAAGAGACATTCAGGGGCCAGATAAGCTTTCTTGTTTTGTTTTTTGCCAGTACTAGGCTTTGAACTCAGGGCCTCACATTTGCTAGGCAGACACTCTACCATTTGAGCCACTCTGCCAGTCCTGTTTAAGTTGAGTATTTTCGAGGTAGGGTCTCTCTAACTATTTGCCTAGGGCTGGTCTGCTTTTTTTTTTTTTTTTTTTAATAATAACCCATTCTCTCAGGAACCAGCAAAGTCCCAAGTGAACCACATTAATCCCTTCTGAAGGCAAGTCTCCAATTACCTCCCGTTAGGGACCCCCCCGCCTTGAAGATTTCACCACCCATAAACATCAGGGGACCAAGCTTCCAGCTCAAGAACCTTTGGGAGACACACTCAAACCATAGCAAACCATAGCATTGGCCTAATCAATTTCTGTGCCTGGGGGATGGAATGCACTGATTGACTCAGGTCAGATAAGGGCCTTCCTGTATCTTGGTGTCCCCATGTTAACTACCATGTCTAAAAGTGGTAGAAATATGGTTCCCCAGGACAGCATTGTTTCTCACTTTATTGGCTCTTGCTATGTAGCCTAGGCTGGCCTTGAACCCGAGATTCTCCTGCCTCAGCCTCTCAAGTGCAGGGATTCAGATGTCTACTGATAGGTTCCAGTTCATGAGAACAGTGTGCGGCTGTGAAAGGGTTCACAGAGAAGCAAGAATTGAAGCAGAAACAGAAGTTTTATTCACTTTCTGAGGGAGGAAAGGGGTTGGGGAATAAGAGGTTTCAGCCCCAAATGAGATTAGGGCTGCGGTTTATAAGCATTTGAGGTGTAGAAGTGTTAATGGCGCTGGTGTAGTCTGTGATCAGAAGACTTCCAAATTCTTTGTATTCCAGCAGAAAAAATCCATGGCAGGACACATGGGTATAAAGAAAGTTTATTAAAAGTTAGGGAAAAGGAATACAAAGGGAAGGGCCCAGGTAAAGCTAGAAGCTGAGAGAGCGAGTTTCTGCTCTTCTGGTGCTTTTAAAACCTATGATACCCTATGGGAAGGGGAGAATAAGGAGATTCCCACCCAATAATTACTGATTGGGAAGGGGCATGGGTGGTTTCCAGCCAGGTGGGGATGGTTCTTGAGCCAAAGCATGGTTAATCTAAGATGTTTGGTTTTTTTTTTCCTATGAGTTCCTAGTTTAGCCTGCCTCAGAAGGAATATACAGTTGACATTTTGTTGTTTGGGTTTAGCTAGCTGTTCCAGGACCCAGCTGGGGCGGTTAGTTTCTCAGTGTTTGCTCAAGGTGGTTGGTTGTTCACTTGTACAATCTTTGCTATGATGTCATTAGGTTGCTATGACATCATTAGGTTAAATATGTTGACAACATACCCAAATGGGTTTCCCCTTGAGTTCAGAAAAAGTTTCTGCAAAACAAATAGCATTTCTGCCAGACAAGATGAAGTCCTTTACAAAATGGAGTAGGTTAGGCTAATTTCAGTTGGGGGCTTACCTTTAGTCTCAAGCCCAGTGAAGCATTGTCTTTCAAAGGCAACTTTTGACATTATACTTCTGTTTGAGGTTATTTTCAGGTACAAGAATAGTGGTTGAGAGCATGGATCATGGAACCAGACAGCCGGGATCTGAATCCTGTCTCTGTCATTTGTTGACTATGTAAACCTTAAGTACTTACTCATGATTCAGTCTCCTCATCTGTGAGATGGAACAGATCATAGGGCTAGCTCATTGAGGTGTGACAATAAATAAATCAACATGTGTATAACACTCAAGACATTTCTGAGAACATACGCTTGTTATGTTCAAGCAAAAGAAAATCCAATTTAACAGTACAAAGAAAATACATGGGATAACATAAGTAGGAAACTTCAGAGACAGAACTGCAACCTACAGAGGTAGGGCAGATGGTTGCTCAGAGCTCTCAAAAAATTTTTTACAATTTCCTTACCCAGATTTCTAGGACTCAGATCTCTACTCAGAAGAGCAGAGAAGGCTTTCCTACCTCCAACCACTAAACAAAAGGCGTAGGCTCCCCAAGTGGATGAATTTAGGTCATGTGCCTGCCTGCCCCTAAACCATTCACAGTAGCCAAGACAAAGCCGTCAGGGATTGGCTGAGGATTGAATTCCTTCCACATTCTTGCACTTGGGGGGATGGGGTTACGCTGCCCCGCTAGGAACTCCTTGGCTGCTGGAGTTCTGCTGCACAGCGAGTGGAACTGGCACGGATGCCAGCGGAGGTGGACAAAGCTCCCTGTTTGAATTTCCTTATAGTACAGAATAAACTAACACGACTTTCCTAAAATACTCCCTTCTTAGGACACGAATAAAGAAAACAAAAATGGCCCACCATCCTGATGTTTATAATCTTTTTTTTTTTTAAAGTACACTGCAAAACATGATCACGGACTATGCATTAAATAACAGGAAAATTCAGGGTTTTTCCCCCTGAATTTGATTTACCGTGCGGTTATGTAAGACGATTTTTTTTTTCCTTAGGAGATAAGCTATGACTTGTTTCTGGGTAAAAGGACTGGATATGATTTGAAACTTACTCTCAAAAGGCTGAAAAAGCAACATATAAAAATTACATATATGTATACATGTATGTACATAGATATATAGAGAAATAGCAAATGGGCAAAATGCTAATATTTGGCAAGTCTAGGTAAAGGTTTGTAATTCTGTATATTAAATTGCTTAATAATAGTTTTTTTTTTAAGTGTCTGGAAAAACGGGCATGATAAACCTTTTTGTTACCATACTCGCTACTTCTATACAAACTCTTTCATGTCGCAACTAAAATGCAAATCAGTGGTTTTACGTAAATAATTTTTTAAAGATAATAAGCTTTAGGAATTATTTCGTGCTTTTTGTTTAAGGTGGTCGCACAAACCCTACAGAAACGCTCAGATGGTGCCAGGCGGGGCTGGGAACCGCCTCTTCGCGCTGCATGCTGGGATGTGGAGTCATCCCCCATAGCCTGCAAGGAGCTCTGGGATCGCCCCGCCGCTCCCTCATCTCGCGATGCTATCCTCCCCTTCTTCTAAACCCTATGACTCCCCCCTCCCCGCCTAACGTGTTTTTTAAATCTGCCAATGGGCGTACAGCTTGGGCTCGAACCAGCCAATCGGAATGCAGAGTCACCGGGAAATTTAAATCGCGCCGGCCGGCTGCACGAGGCACACGGTCTCTAGGCTGAGCCGCAGCAGACGTTTCCAGGGCAGCCGATCCGCAGCTTGGGAGCCCCGCACCGCCTCTTGTGGAAGCCTGAGCCCGCTGTGCTGGTACGAACTCAGGCCACGGGCCCGGCCCGAGCGGTAACGGCTGGCCTGGGAGCTGCGCTCGGGCTGTGGATGGCGGGAGGGAGGAGGCTCTGGCTTCAGGCCGGGACTGGTTTCGGCCTCCTTCGTAGACACGGCCTCCGGGGCGTCGTTGGTTGATCAAGCGGCTTAGTTTCGCAATGCCGGGTCAGGGCTTTACGGCGCTGGGCGCTGCGAACGACAGAGGAAGCTTTTGCGCCTCCCGGCCCAGAGGATCGGGGACACAGGCCCGAGGGCGAATGTCTCGGGCCGGCGGCCACCCTGGCCTATGCCGGGTCCCCGTTGCATCTTCCCCGGGGAGGGGGCGGGGACCGGGGCTGCAGATGGAGGTGGCCGTTGGAGGAAGCTGTCCCTAATCCTAGGCCTGGGTTGACTGTGTCACACATAGTGTCGCGGAAAGAGCATGTAAGGGGGCGGAGGAGGGCTTTGTCACTACTTTGAGATCGCCATTAAGTATCTTGGGCCTGGATGACCACGGCTGATGTCATGCTGATTGGATGCATTCCCCGGACATCTGTAGGGGTGAAAATGTGTGCGAGGTGGCGGGGCTGTATGTCAGCGGTGACAAGATGGTTGTAGAGGCCCCATGATGTTGCGAAACAAATGTTTATTGGTCGAGTGTGCAGAGTGCTCTTCTTACTGGCAAAGCAAAATGGTAAAAGGGAAACCTTTTTCTCCTCCTGTCGTCTAGCTTTCTCTCTTTGTCTCAACCATGTCCACCAATGAGAATGCTAATTCACCAGCTGCCAGGCTTAACAGATTCAAGAACAAGGGGAAAAACAGTACAGTGAGTACCTTCTATTGCTTTCTTGGATTTTTTTTAAATGGGAAGAGGTTTGAAGGGGTTAAATCATGGAAGGATTTTTTAAAAAATCACTTGGCAACAAAAATTGATGATAGATGAAATAATACGTTATCTTTTCTCAAGGAAATGAGGCGGAGGCGAATAGAAGTTAATGTGGAGCTGAGGAAAGCTAAGAAGGATGACCAGATGCTGAAAAGGAGGAATGTAAGCTCATTTCCTGATGACGCTACCTCTCCACTGCAGGAAAACCGCAACAATCAGGTAAATATATTTTACTTAGACCTACAAAGTCAATCTGGGTGTTTCTTAGAAATTTAGTCTTAAAGTTTTGGCTATCAAATCTGGGAAGGAATGTTTGTTTTCTGTTCCCCATGAGTAATTCTGATGGATTATCTTTCATCTATAATCTACTGAAAGTGATTCCAAGGTCTTTTGGTTTTTTTTTTTTTTTTTGGTGGTGCTGTGGATTTTTGGCTGTGCTACATAGGAAAGAGCCATACAACAGAGCTCCATCCCAGTCCCAATTCAGTCCTGACATTCCTCCAGGTTTCCCTGTATTCCTAGCCACTAGATGGGTACCATGACCTACCCATTGCAGTGTTAATCGTATCTGGAACTAACCACTTTGTGACTTATATCTGCTCTTTTTGGTGTTCTTTTAGTTATCAGCTTTGATCAAGTCTTTGTCCTCTTGGAATATTTACAGTAGCTTTCTAATTTATTTTTTGCTTTATTCTGTGTCATAAAATATTTTCCTAAAATTCTTCCCAAAGTACAGTTGTGTGTCACATTCAGTGTTTTATCTACAGACTAAAGTAGGGTAGTGGTACCATAAGATTATAATAGAACTGAAACAGGAACTCAGGACTAAAGAAAGGTGAGCGAAAGGAAACTTTACAAGAGAAAATGAAGAAGCCCCAAGAAAATTCACAGAGAAAGTTTTAACTGAAACTTTTGCAGACCTTAACAAGTTCCTTAAAAAGGAACTAGTGGTTCAGGCCTGAAATCCTAGCTACTCAGGAGGCAGAAATAAGGATTATGGTTCAAAGCCAGTCCTGGCAAATAGTTTGTGAAACTCTATCTTGAAAAGACCCAGCACAAAAAAGGGCTGGTGGAATGGCTTAAGTGGTAGAGCACCTGTCTAGCAAGTGTGAGGCCCTGAGTTCAAGCCCCAGTACTGCCAAAAAAAAAAAAAGTTAAAACCAGTTGAGGCCTGCGCAGGTCCCACCAGCTTGTCCATGGTTAGGGGCTGCTATCCGCCTCATAAAGCAAGTGGAGGGTTTGTCTTTTGGAAAGGCAAAATTGTCTTCTCCTCTGAAAAAGCCTCCTACATAGTTGACTTAAAAAAAAAAAAGTTAAAACCATGGATCCCAACTTTGGCGAGAATGTTCTTTTCTTAGAAGCAAATCTATAATTTAAAAAAAAAAAAAAAAAAAACCTAGCCAAGCAAACCACCAGGGACAGATTTCCTAAGAGTGATAGCTTCTCAAAAAGAGCCTCAGGCAGATCATTTAGGAGGGATTCAAGAAGAAAGCATTGCTACAGGAGATGCCAGCTGCTTGTGTTTTTGCACCTGAAGGCCTTCCAGTTGGGGCTGGCAGAGTGGTTCATGTGGTAGAGTGCCTGCCTAGCAAGTCTGAAGCCCTGAGTTCAAACCTCAGTACCACCTTTTAAAAAAAAAAAAGGGACCAAAAAATGGAGGTGGAAAATGGTGACATTGATAATGCTGATTCTGTGTAGACCCAGGCCACAGCATGTGTTTGTATCTTAGCTTTTAAGAACAAAGTATAATTACTTTTTTTAAAAAGATAAAAATGGGAAAAAGCTTATAGATAAGAAGAAAATATTATACTGCTGTAGAATGTATAATGTTACTACAAAAGAGTCACAAAGGCTGGACATGGTGGGACATATCTGTAATCCCAGTTACTGGGTAGGCTGAGGCAGGAGTATATCAAGTTCCAGGCTATATAGCAAGACCCCATCTCAAAAAAAATTATAAAGTAATTATGTTACAATAAGCTAAAGTTAATTTATTGAAGAAAGAAAAATATTTTAAATAAATGTAGACTAGCCTAAGGGTATAGTACTTTTAAAGTGGGTGGTAGGGTACAGTAAGGTTCTGAGCCTCCATACTCACTGCTCAACCAGAGCAGCTTCCAGTTCTGCCTGCTCCATCCCTAGTAAGTGCCCTACACAGATGTGCCATGGCTAATCTTCTGTACTGTAGCATTACTGAACTTTGCTTTAGATATGTTTAGTTACTGCTCACCACGTCAGAATCGCCCGCAGTGTCCAGAACAATAACCTGCTCTCACATTTGCAGCCCAGGAAGATAGCCTACGCAGTATAGCCTAGGTGTATAGTAAGCTGTACAAACTAGACCTGTGCAAGTCCAGGTTAGCATTTTTGCTCAACAGTGAAATTGCCTAATGACTACATCCCCGGTGTTGAGTGATGCCGACTGTACTGTTGTAGGCGTGTTCTTTCTCTACTCATAATCCATACTCATGAAGGCCTTCCATAAATTAGACCCATCTTAGGTTTTCCAGTGTATTCCTACCCTCCTTTTTTTCTTTTTGCGACAAGATCTTGCTATGTATTCCTGGCTGGCCTCAAACTATTGTTCCTCTTGCCTCAGCCTCCCAAATGCTGGTATTACAGGTGCTATGAGGCCCAGCATTATTGGGTATTTTGTTCTTCCTTCCTTTTGTTTGTGTGTGTGTGTGTGTGTGTGTGTGTGTTTTACTGGGGCTTGAACTAAGGGCTTTCACCTTGAGCCTTTCCACTATTCCTATTTTTGTGATGGGTGGGCTGGTTTTGAACCATGATCCTCCTGATCTCTGCCTCCTGAGTAGCTAGGATTACAGGTGTGCGCCACTGGTGCCTGGCTACGTTTATTTTAATTAATGTTGTAAATTCCTATAGAGAAAGGGACAGTAACCTTTTGCTGTGATTCATAATATACATTTACATTTGTAGTGCTCTACTGTGGAAATTTATAGATTGCAAGCTTAAAAATGAAAGTCCCCAGGACATTGCCTATAATCCCATCTCCCTCAAAGCATATCTGAATGAAAGTGATTAAGACTAACGTAGGAACTCTAAATCTGTTTTTTTGATAGTACTGGGGACTGAACCCAGGACCTTGTACTGCTAGGCAAACTCTACCACTTGAACTGAGCTCCCAGCCCTTTCTTTGTTTTATTTTTTTCAGCGGTACTGGGATTTGAATTCAGGGTCTTGCTTAGGCAGCTGGTCTGTCACTTAAGCTATGCTCCCAGCCCTTAGTTTTATTTTTGAGATGGGTTCTTGATGCATTTGTCTGGCCTCAGACTCATGCTTCTGCCTCCTGGGTTCCTGGGATCACATGTGTGCGCTACGACACCTAGCCTAAATCATTCTTTTTTTTTTTTTTTTCATTTTAGTAGCACATATTCATCGTATGGGGGTTAAATCTTTTTTTTTTTTTTTTTTTTTTTTCATTTGGCGGTACTGGGGTTTGAACTCAAGGCCTCATGCTTGCTAAGCAGGCACTCTGCCACTTGAGCCACTTTGCCAGCCCTTAATCATAAAACTGTTCACAGCCACCTTTTTCAGTGACAGAATTCTAAGACTCCAAAACTTGAGACTTCAGTGAGTCATGATACCAAGATGAGAACTTTTATACATAAATAATACTTACCAGGCAAAATTAAATATAGGGTAAACTTTTAGTAACTGGCTATAAATCTAAAAATGTCTTCACAATGGCAAGTATGGACTTTATTGTTTGTATTTAAATGATAAATTATAAAATTCCAATTTTCTTTCAGGGCACTGTGAATTGGTCTGTTGATGACATTGTCAAAGGCATAAATAGCAACAATTTGGAAAGCCAGCTCCAAGCTACTCAAGCTGCTCGGTAAATGTGTCTCTAGCATGGGTAACCTAAGAAATTATCCTTTTTAGATTTTTTTGGAAGGAAGAGGATAGAGATGGTGTGGACAAAGTAAAGGTTAAACCAGGCATAGGCTGGTTTTAAAATTTTTCCTTAGGTGAAGCTTTAAAATTTCTATAGTTGCCTAAAATTCCACCCCCAGTGACAATCACTGTTAACCTTTTGATGATCTTTTTAAAACAAAAAAAGTTTCCTTTTTTTTTTTGGTCCAAGTTGCATTTCAAGTCACTGGCAGGGACTGATATATCCATTCAGAATGGTACATCCATTTAGAAAACAAGTGTACTTAGACCCTTATCTCCTACCATAGAAAAATATTTGTGACATCTGTAACAGAAAGGATTAATAACTTTTATTTTTTGACAGTATATAGAAAAACAGATCTAAATGGCAAATGATCATGGAAAAGATGCTTAACCTCTCTAGCAACCAGGGAAACAGATTAAATTATCAGTAAGAGTATGACTCTTGACAGTCTCAAGTTCAAAAAAGGTGACAGCATATAGTAGATATAGTGACATAGAGAGGAAGGTAATCTACGATCAGGTGATAGTGTGACTTTCGGGAAAAAGGAAGTTAGAGTAACATGTACCACAATGCAAGCAATGTATTCAGCTTCTCTTAATTTCCAGGACGTCTCAAACGTCTCAGCATTTGGTGCTTTACATGAGAGGTTGTGTAGAAAGCTGGGTGTGGTGGCACACGCTTTTCCCCAGCACTCAGGAAGCTGAGACAGGAGGACCAAAAGTTTGAGAGCAACTTCACTTGCTACATATTGAGATCCTATCTCAAAAAAAAAAAAAAAATGTGTACTAAGTTCTAAACTCTTAAATTCCATTTTAAATTGGTTTTCACACAAGCTTCTCTTGTTAATCAACTTCAGCTTTTGTTTCTCTTTTTGTTTCCCCCTTAGGAAACTGCTTTCTAGAGAAAAACAGCCCCCCATAGACAACATACTCCGGGCTGGTTTGATTCCAAAATTTGTGTCCTTCTTGGGAAGAACTGACTGTAGTCCCATTCAGTTTGAATCTGCTTGGGCGCTCACTAACATTGCTTCTGGGACATCAGAACAAACCAAAGCTGTAGTGGATGGAGGTGCTATCCCCGCGTTCATTTCTCTGTTGGCATCTCCCCATGCTCATATCAGTGAACAAGCCGTGTGGGCACTAGGAAACATTGCAGGTACTTGCACTTAAAATTCTTTAACCAGTGTATGTAATTATAATGAGGCTGGAGAAGGGCCACATTAAAATCGTGACCCTTGTGTCAGGTTTTGAGCTTGCTTCAGTCCCATATTAGGAATGAAAGAGGCATCTAAAAATGGCACCAGAGAGGCACCTGAGTAAGTTAGGAAGATTCTGATGGTGCGTTCAGTCTGAATGTGGTGGTGCTGCACAAGTGGATGTGATTAATCTGTTTTGTTTTTTCTTTAGGTGATGGTTCAGTTTTCAGAGACTTGGTTATCAAATATGGTGCAGTTGACCCACTGTTGGCTCTTCTTGCAGTTCCTGATATGTCATCTTTAGCAGTAAGTTACTATCTAAGTAAAGTTACTTGGGGTTTGATTCTAATTTTCCCCACCTCCTCAAAAGATGGTCTCTCTCATTATGTTTTTCTTTTCCCCCAGTGTGGTTACTTACGTAATCTTACCTGGACACTTTCAAACCTTTGTCGCAACAAGAATCCTGCACCCCCATTAGATGCTGTTGAGCAAATTCTTCCAACTTTAGTTCGTCTCCTGCATCATAACGATCCAGAAGTTCTAGCAGATACTTGCTGGGCTATTTCCTACTTGACCGATGGTCCAAACGAGCGCATTGAAATGGTTGTGAAGACAGGAGTTGTTCCCCAACTCGTGAAGCTTCTAGGAACTATTGACTTGCCGATTGTGGTAAGTTGTTAACTTCATAGTTACTGATGAGTATACAAGTACAAAGGAGCACCATCTGCTGATAATGCTAAAAAATTGCCTATTTCAGACCACGACAGGGCTCTTGTCAAAACTTTTAGGATAGAGAAGTTTTGAGGGCTTGGTGGAATGGCACAAGCAGTAAGAGAGCCTGCCTAGCAAGCAGCAAGTGTGAGGCCCTGAGTTCAAACCCCAGTGCTACAAAAAAAAAAAACCAGAATTTTTGAGCAGTGTTGAAGAAAATAAAAGATAACCAATCAGCATTAATCTCTTTTTCCTTTTCAGACTCCTGCCCTAAGAGCCATAGGGAATATTGTCACTGGAACAGATGAACAGACTCAGGTTGTGATAGATGCAGGAGCACTTGCTGTCTTTCCCAGCCTGCTAACTAACCCCAAAGCTAATATACAGAAGGAAGCTACGTGGACGATGTCAAACATCACAGCTGGCCGCCAGGACCAGATACAGCAAGTTGTGAATCATGGATTGGTCCCATTCCTTGTTGGCGTTCTCTCTAAGGTAATGAAATCTTAGGATTTAATCAAGCGGTCGTTAGTGTTTATGGACAAGCACTGAAGTACATTATTGTTTAATACAGAGACCCCTTTCCCTAAGGTTGGCTAGTAGTTAGTAGTGGTTTCAGTTATGTTTTTGTGAACAGTACCTTTGGGATCTTACTGTTATGACTTTTTTTTTATTCATTTATTCACATGTTCATATATTGTTTGGGTCATTTTTCCCCCCTGCTCCCCTCCTCCATTGTTATGACTTCTGAAGTAAGACTTTTTTAATGTTTTTATCAGGCAGACTTTAAGACACAAAAGGAAGCTGTGTGGGCTGTGACCAACTATACAAGTGGTGGGACAGTTGAGCAGATTGTGTACCTTGTTCATTGCGGCATAATAGCACCACTGATGAACCTCCTAAGTGCGAAAGACACTAAAATAATCCTGGTCATTCTGGATGCCATTTCAAATATCTTCCAGGTAAGTCCTAACAAGGTGGCATTTGTTTGAATTTGGCCTTGATGATAATCAGTTTACTGTTTGGGGGAGGGGAGGCAGCCAAGTTACTCATTAACAGGTCAGGAAATGAGAAAGCTTGTTTTATATGGGCTACTTTTTTTTTTTTTTTTTTTTTTTTGTGAGATAAGTACTGTGTTGTGTGTTGCCCGGGCTGACTTCCGACCCCTGCGCTCGCTGTTTTCCTGCCTTAGTCTTTGAGTACCACTGTACCTGGCTGGGCCACACTTGATAGGATTACAGGATGATGTAATATTGAATTGAAGTTCTTAGGTGGAAATTTCTACACTTGTGTAATGAGTTATCTTTATTTTTTTGCAGTAGTGGGGAATGAACCTAGGGCCTTGTACATCTCACGCATGCTAGGCAAGTGTTCTGCCACAACCCCTGTCCTGTCAGTTTTTCTTTCTGATGGGAGTGGGTTTGAATTCAGTGCTTAGAACTTGCAAAGTAGGTGCTATACCATTTGAGCCATACCTCTAGTCCACATTTTTGCTCTAGTTATTTTGGCAATGGGGTTTCACAAACTATTTGTCCGGGCTGGCCTTATCCTCTAGATCGTAACCTCCCATGTAGCTAGGATTACAGCTGTGAGTCAGTTATCTTTAATTCCCCAGTTTCATATTGAACTTTGGTGAAATTTAAATGACTTACTTAATTATATTTTTCTTCAAGTTCTATCCCTGGTTGATGCAAGTATGCTAGCATCTGGCACTTTGTCTTAATGATTGATGGTAGGTAAGCCCTACTTAACAATTTACACATTTTTGATTTTAGAGATTTTTGCATACGAAGTTGAGTCTAGAATAAGGAGCACTGGTGTTTCCATTCCTGCATTTTAAATACTTTGTCAATGTACGACTAGTTTTCTTATTCCTCCTCACCCCACTACTAACCCCTAAACTGTTTGGAAGCAAATGAGTTATTTTATGTTGTAAATATTTATCTCCTAAAAGTTAAGGAAATCTAACCTCTGTATCATTCATATACCTTATTTTTTTTCTACCACTATACTAATGAGGACATATGCCTATTTCTTAAAAATACAAATAAGCTGGGTGCTGGTGGCTCACCCCTGTAATCCTAGCTACTTGGGAGGATAAGATTGGAAGGATCATGATTGGAGGCCAGCCCAGGCAAATAGTTCAAGAGACCCCATCTCCAACATAATGAGAACAAAAATAGACTGGAGGCATGGCTCAAGTAGTAGTCCCACAAAGAAAAAAGGGATTCTTCTTCATGACACTTGGAAATAATCTGAGGTGCTTTTACAAAACAATAATCCCTTGTTGCAGTTGTAGACCAATTGAACCTGAAGGTAGTGTTACTTTAGAAGTTTCCCAGGTGGTTTTAACACATTGAAAAGGTGGAGAGCTACTCTGAGATTTCTGGCTGAAAGCTATAGTCAAGTATTAGGTGCTGCTGGGCGCCAGTGGTTCATGCCTGTAATCTCAAGAGGCAGAGATCAGGAGGATAGAGTTTTGAAGCCAGCTGGGCAAATAGTTCACAAGACTCTATCTCAAAAAACCCATCACAAGAAAGGGCTGGTGGAGTGGCTCAAGGTGTAGGCCCTGAGTTCAAACCCCACTACTGCAAAAAAAAAAAAAAAAAAAAAAAGAGAATTAGGACATGAAACTACCTTAGGGCTGTGGAAGGAACTGGTAAGTATTTGTCTGGTACATATTAATGCTCAAATATGGATATTGTTTTCTTCACTAAAGTAGAACATTCAGGGTATAGGCCAGTAAACTTGAAATTTTTTTTCAGGCTGCTGAGAAACTAGGTGAAACAGAGAAACTTAGTATAATGATTGAAGAATGTGGAGGCTTGGACAAAATTGAAGCTCTACAGAACCATGAGAATGAGTCTGTGTACAAGGCATCACTAAGCTTGATTGAGAAGTACTTCTCAGTAGAGGTGAGAAATGGATGGCAAGATAACAACTTAAAACATGAGCAGTGCCATGTGCCTGTGACTCATGCCTGTAATCCTAGCTACTCAGGAGGCAGAGATCAGAACAATGGTGATTCAAAGCCAGCCTGAACAAATAGTTTGTAAGACCGTATCTTGAAAATACCCATCACCCACAAAAAGAAAAAAAAAAAGGGCTGGTGGAGTGGCTCATGGTTTAGACCATGAGTTCCAACCCCAGTACCACACAAAAAAATAAACAGATAACATTTCTGTCAAACCAATATTTCTTTCATATTTTCAGATATGGCTGGTCAGACCACAGTCTGCCTACTAATGCCTCCTGCATAACTAGGAGTACAAACATGCAGCACCAGGCCTACCCCTCCTCCTTCATCCATACTTTTTAAAATAAGTCCTGTACCTTTGTTAAGTAGGGAAAAATACCAGTATCTATAGAGCTTTCTTATATTTTTTATTTGCTCTTCCGGTATTTGGTTTGATGATGGTATTTCACCCAGGATTTTAAAAACCACTTACTTTCAAATGAACAGCCTTGGGAATCTTAGCATACCCCAAGACATGAGTTTGTGGATGCCATTGTAAGAGTCGATGGCGAAGTGGGCCAACCCCAGGACTGTACTCTGGGCCTATTAAGCAATCCTTTATCTTTCCTACTGAAAAGTGATGGGTGGAGGAGAAAAATCTCAACTTATTTTATATTTTTTGTTTCGTTTTTGTTGGTTCTGGGGTTTGAACTCAGGGCTTCGAACATGCTAGGCTGGTGCTCTAGCGCTGGAGCCACTCCACCAACCCTAAACTTTCTGTTAGGGCAGAAAGGAGAAGCCGTTCAGAATCTTCTCCCAGGTACTAATGAATTAGCCAAGTTTCAGCAGTTCCCTTTTCCTCCCTCGCGTGGTGATCCCAAGAAAAGATGAAGACTTTTAGACAGGCTATTGCTTATAAATGTGCCACATTTGTGAGTTATGTTTTTGTTGTTGTTTTTAAATATTTCCAGGAAGAAGAAGATCAAAATGTTGTGCCAGAAACTACCTCTGAAGGCTATTCCTTCCAAGTTCAGGATGGGACTCCTGGAACCTTTAACTTCTAGTTGTTCAGCTGAGGCATAATCATTCGTTGTGTACTGTGTTTGGCATAAGTTTGTCTTACTGTTTCTCTCCTAAGAACTTTTTTTAAATGTGGTTTGTTATTGTAGCACTTTTTACAATGAAAACTATACTTGAACAGTTCCAAACTGTACATACATATCTTGCAGTGTCCTGTAAATAAAGATTAAATTCCACCCTTTTCTTTATTTCACTGTGTTTGTGTTGCTTTCTAATTTGGGACTCTAATGTCGAAAATGAAGGGAAGCCTGAACAAAACCATGTGATTGACCAGAGGCAGTGCTGGTTGCAGACATCACTTATGTACGGTAGCAGGGCTGCTAACTTCCTGCCAGATTCTGAGCCTCCTGGCTTTCGGCTGGATTGCTTCCTCACTTGCTAAGAATGGCGGCTGGCATGGAGAGACTTCACATCTACTTCACATCAGCCAAAAAACATAAGTTTTCATAAAAGCTCTCAGCCAATTGTGTCCTAACGTCTCTTATTGACCAGGAAGATGGGCTATGATTAAATCTCTAGTCACAAATCTACAACTCTTCAGTGGAATTCATTCCTCCCACACTCAAGGGCTGAAAGTAGTTTCATTGTGAAACCTGGCTGCATATTTTCATCACATGGGAAAGCTCACCTGGAAGTTCTGACTGATGAAGCTGGGTGCTGTGTCTTTTTAATGTTAGGAGCACCTGTGCAGTACAGGTTACTACTAATCTTAAGGAATAGCTATGTAGCTGTGATAACAGGGAAAGGATTCCAGGAAGAAAGCAACCAAGCATTAACTATAAGTATCCTCAATTCTTATGAAAAATGCAATACATCTTAATTTAATGATACTATTACTTGTTTGTGCTCATTCAATGAGTGGAAAAGGAACCAAGCCTCTGCTATAGCATCTAACTGGAAATGAGCAGATGCTTTGACTGCATTTTATCCTATAGAAACTGTGATGGTGGAGGTAGAAAAGGGACCAAAGTAATGCAGCTTGGGATGGTGGTGTACACTGTCATCCCAGCACTGAGGAGGCAGGAGGAATGTGAGTTAAAGAGGCCTCCCTGGTCTCCATAGTGGACCCCGTCTTAACAGAAAAAAACAAGCCTGAGAGTAGAGGACAGTAGTGTAACAGGTCTCATTTTACCTCCTCTGGGCTACAAATGAGGGTATTCCCCCCGAGTTCATCAGCATGCACTTAAATGTATTTTGCTTTTTGCAGATAACAGGGTTTCAAGTTCCATGGAACAGAATGTTTAGTGTGCCTCATTTGGGTGCAGAGCTAGAGAACACTGCTAAAGCTTATTTGAAGCCTTTGCTACAGCCAAGTTCTAGCGTGGAACGCTAGACCTCCGTGTTACACGAGGTCCTATGCCAAGACCATTTTGTTGGAGCCCTGGGTTACTTTCAGCTTTTGCTGTACAAGGCTCAGGTAAAGGGAGGGGACAAGTGACAGTTTTTGACTCTGCAGACTGTCCTCCATGACCCCCCCTCTACTGCTTGCTCTTCCTTTCCCCAACCCTTCTTGGATGCTGACTGGGTTCAAAAATCATCTTGAGAGAAGAATGCAGAAGTAAATCTTGACACTTAGGTTTTGCTTTAAGACAGGGAGCTTTAATTGCTACACACAGGCTAGTGTAGTTGACATAATGAAAGTGGAAGGCCTGGATTTGTTAAGGCATGACTCAATAATGAGGTAATGGTAGGAGATAGCTAATATCTAAAAATACATTTCTGCATATTTTAGATAAAATTCTTAGCATACTAGCTTCCTCAGAGTTAGGAATCCATAGAGACATTTGAATATTTTAACATTTGTGGGCCAAATTTTATATCTTAGAGAATGATTTTTCATACCAATTTGATTTTATAAAGTGGCAATAAAAACACTGTAATATAGTCATCAACTTTTCCCTAATGGCTACAATTTCCAGTGGTTTATTGATATGCCAAAAGTTTGTTTCCTAACAGTTGCAAATCTTAACACTAATAAATTGTATCTTTTTTGTGTGTGGTACTGGGGTTTCAACTCAGAACGTCACACTTGCTAGGCAGGCCCTCTACCACTTGAGCCACTTCACCAGCCCTAAATTATGGATCTTTACCTATAACTTTCATTTTTGTATTTGTTATAGTAGGGAAGTGTGGGAAGGTAACACTTCAGTTTCATGAGGCAATTATCAAAGTAAAAACTGCCAGCAGTTACTTGGCTGGTGGTTATCTTTAAAGGGGCTGGGCTGTGGCTTACGTTGTATGCTTAAAGCTTTGTATCTGATCCCCAATACCAGGGGGAAAATTCACAAACATTTCATTGGTGGTGCATGGAAATCCCAGCTATACTGGGGGCAAAGGAATTGCAGTCTGGGGCAAAAGCAGGAGACCCTATCTGAAAAATAAGCAAAAAAGGGGCTGGGGGCATGGCTCAAGTGGTAGAATGACTGCTTAGCAAGCATGAGCTCCCGAATTCAAACTCACCCCCCCAAAAAAAAATTCCACAAAGTATTGATTCTTTAAAATTGCCACATTGTATCTTTGTCTCAGTGCCAAGCTACTCTACTAGTTCTTGAACAAAGTGAAATATACTACATTTTTTTTCTTTTTGTGGTATCGGGGCTTGAATTCAGGGCCTACACTTCAAGCTACTCCACTAGTCCTCTTTTGTGAAGAGTATTTTTGAGATAAGGGCTCAAGAACTATTTGCCTGGGCTGGCTTTGAACCTCGATCCTCCTGATCTCTGCCTCCTGAGTAGCTAGAATCACATGTGTGAGCCACCATCGCCCGGCAAAATAAACTACTTCTAAGGTTGACTTTTTTCCCCCCTCAAACTCAACATTTCTATGGCTACGTCATCACTTGAAAGGATTAAATACTTGGGATCATTTCTTGTTATTGCAAACCCTCATTGTTAAAAGGATATTTGCTTCAGCATTTGGCCTCTTGGCTCCTTTTTCTAAGCTCAGAACCAAGTCAATTAAAACCAAAATCATGTTCACCTCCCATCAACAGCAGTAAGACACACTTGGGTTTTGTTTGTCTGGGCAGCTGGAAATCTTGTGATATGTCGGACCCAAGTTCAGAAGACCATTAGGGGAAGTGTAGCTGGTTACTTCCCTCCCTCCGCCCTTGCTGTAGCTTGCCAAAACCAGTCTGCTTGATTTTGGAAAGCCCTGGAAACATGTCATTAGTGATGCTTGCTTTTGAAATTGGGCTGTTGACCTAATTTGTTATGAACAAAACCTGGTTAAATCATGTAACACTCTCCCTCTGCAACCCCCCCAAGGGAAAGTATTAGCAAAAAGTGTTTCAGCAACATCGCTGGTTTAAGTTTCATAACCTCAGCTCATAAAGATGATAAAAAACACCCAAGCTAGCAAGCAGGGGTTTTTGAGGGCAGAAGTGCAATTTACTTTTGAGCATTTGTATGTTTAACTGCATGCTGCTGGCATGCACTGAAAGCATAATTCTGGTGTCTCTAAACGCCCAGTTCCTCTTAAATATTTGGGGCAGTTTCATAACACTGGGTAGGAGTTGTATGCATCCATCGGTTTGTGCTTTCCTCCCAGGCTTTTCCAGTCATAAATGGCTTTTCCCATCCTAGCGCTGGGAGGTGGGGGGGGTGCCATGGAATGATCTAGTGCTTAGGGACCAGATCTTCCTGAGTTCAAGTTCTGCCTCTTCCTTAGGTCACTGGATGACCTTGGGGCAGTTAAAGTCACACAAGCATGGCGTTAAAAAAGTACAGTTACTAATGCCTACCAAATACAACTGTGTCACATAAATATGCAGATATCCCCAACCTTTTACCAGAAAAGAATTCCTTTAGGTCCTCCATAGACCTTTATTTTGATATATTTTTCCCAATAGCCTTATGTCTATTTTTATTCTGCCTCTTTTCTTTTTTGTCAGTCACAGATAAAATTCAGTTCAGTGGTAGAGCACTTGCCTAGCATGCTGGAGGCCCTGGATTTGATCCCCTGTACTGGGAGGGGGGCGGGAATCACAGCATCACTACAGTGGATTTTTCTATATCTCAATGATAGTTGATTGATTTTTTAATGCTTAGGCCTTTTAGGGGGTTTCTGAACAGTGGAACTGGCCTAAGGAAGGCCCACTATGACTATGTTCACAGATCAGCTTTTTTTTTTTTTTTGACACATTTTGTAGCAGTCTGATCACACATGACCCAAGGAACATACAAATAATAAACCAAATATAATCAAATATTAAAAATGAGTCATCAAACATAGCCAATGATGCCATGCATGCCTGTGATCTCTCCAGTCCAACTTGGTGATGGTTTGCTCAGAAACTTATGAGACTCCGGTCTCTTCCTCTTCCTCTTTTGTGCTTCCAGGTCATGAGGTGAGCAGTTTTCTCTGCCACGTGTTCCCTACCCTTGCAATCCAGCACATTCTCCCACTCCCAGAGGCCTAAGGCAAAGAGTCCCCTGATCATGGACTGAAACCTCTCAAACCATGAGCCAAAATAAACATTTTCTCTTTATACTTTAACTCAGGTATTTTGTTACAGTGATGGAACGTTGACTAGCAGATATTCATTCCAAAAGCATGATAAAACTCTGTGGTGCCTTTGTCCCTGGAAAGAGACGATGACAGGGGTTTGTATTTGGGGTTTGTATGTGTCTGTTGGCTTCAGGTTTGGCTTCCCAGCAGGTCCTAGGGGGCGGGTGGTAACAATGGTATCTACCTCCCACTGATAGCGTATCTCAGAGAGGCAGTCACACACTTCCCAAATGCATAGCTCCACTGCTGAGGGAGGAATGGCTCATAGCTGTGGTTGGGAACGCACAACCGGCTGGGGCTTCACCAGCATAATCCCACCCCTCGTTCTCTTCAGGCACTTCTGCCCCTGGACTTTGCTCAGGAGTCAGCAATTGTCCTTTTTCTCTGGTACTTCTGCTGAGGTAACCACGCTTGTTCTTCTCATAGGGGACCAGGGGAATTTACTAGCCAAGGTCACAGCTGACTCCCAGGTGGCTTTCAGTCCTGTGACCCCCCCCACCAACAACC